CCGGTGCCTGCCCGTGCGGGGCCGTTCCAGGCAAAGCCGCTCCCGCCTGGTTGAAGGGGGTGTGCAGCAGGGATGGTGACGGTTAACCGGTTAGGTAACTCGTTAACCAGCCAGGCTGCCCCGGGCAACCCTACGCCCTGCTAGAGCTCCCCTCCACTCCCCCAGTTTGCACCAATTTAATCGTTCAACCGATTAAATTTAACATTTAAGCGGTTCACTAATCGTTCCAGGCAAAGCCGCTCCCGCCTGGTTGAAGGGGGTGTGCAGCAGGGATGGTGACGGTTAACCGGTTAGGTAACTCGTTAACCAGCCAGGCTGCCCCGGGCAACCCTACGCCCTGCTAGAGCTCCCCTCCACTCCCCCAGTTTGCACCAATTTAATCGTTCAACCGATTAAATTTAACATTTAAGCGGTTCACTAATTAAGTAGGATTTTACATCCCTTGTCTGCAGTGGCTGTGTACAGACAGTGTCTGATGTTAGCAGCAAGGGAAGGAGGTGTGAGTAGCGTTACAAAGCCAGAGGGTTAGGTAGGCTTCTGAGCATGTAGGGCAATATGCAGCTCCTGGAGACACTGCAATATGCCTGGGGCTTAATCCTTATTTTGGGGATGAGGAGAGCAATCCTGAAAATAGCCTTAATTTATTTCCCCCACTGTATTTCATTCTTGCAGAGGTGCTAGAGGAGTATCTTCTAAGACTCCTGCCGTATAGGTGGTGTTAGATAATATGTCAAGCTTTTTATGCCAAAACTTCTGATTAGGGGATGATTACTTACTGATTATTTTTCCTCCAAAGGTCACTCTCAGTACTTGCAGTGCTCCATCTGCTTGTAATATGAGTTTTTCATCTGTTCCCTGGCTTTTCTTTTCCTCTGCTTCAGTGTTCATTACTCAGGTTTTTACATTCATTTTAAATATTGTATTGTTGAATTCATTCTCTTCTGTAACATATATCCAAACTATATTTGCTTTTTTCTGTCATTTACCAGTGCCTTTCCCTATTCATTTATAAGTGTGTGTGTGTGTGTGTGTGTGTGTGTGTGTGGAGTCCTCAGACTTATGATACAATGCAATTTTGAGGAAATAATTGTAAGCTGAAATGTTGTAAGATGAGACCACTTTTCCGTAGGAATTGGAAAAAAGAGGGAATTGGTTCCTGAACCATGGCTTGAAATACCATTTTCACAATAATAACCTAGATATTTGTATTAAATGAATTATAGCAGTGTTTCTGAAACTGCTCTGCAGAGCCCCAGGGCTCCGTGAGACATCTCCAGGGGCTCCGTGAGGTTGACAAACTGGAAAGCCTTCAAAAGCATAATTGAGAATCATCTCGAACGGATGCAATTAACACACACCGCTGGGGCTCCGTATAAATTTTTACGCATGTAAAGGGCTCCAGATCCCAAAAGTTTGAGAACTGCTGAATTATAGATTAGGGATGTAATAGCGTAGCTGATTAAATGATTAACCGAGTGTGTGTCTATTAATTCTATAAGCTACATGATTAAGAAAAGTATATGCATCTTAACCTCCCTATTATAGATTATTAATGTACCAAAACAGCATTCAGCTAAACTTAAATTCGGGGGTTTCTGTAAAGTCTTAAAATGTCCAAAGAAGTTTGGACAGATGTACTCTTCTCTTGTAAATATCTCTGTAGCAGCAGTACATATTGAATATGCCCCTATTCACAGGTGTACTGCGTTCAATAATGAGGTTATATTCCTCAAACAGGGACATGGCAGCTTTCAAATTTGAAGTGTTGGCTGAGGCAGGAGTTTCAGTAGTGAATGCATCTTCCTCTGCCACCTTCTGCTTTTCCTCCTCACTGACATCCTCATTAGTTAATTCTTCACAGTGTGATGCCAGCAACTCATATCTTCTGGTGAGTGCTTTGCCTGTCCGAACAACTCCTTGGGTCCTCTCTTCAGCAGTGTCTGAATCCTTGAAAATCACACACAGTTAGGATACAATTTTTGCCAAACGCCATTCAAAATTGGATTTTTTTTTCAACTCATTCCATGCCTCAGCATTGTTTAACTGCATGGTATATGTTGAAACCTTTCTGGGAGTATTTTTGAGGGTTAACAGTGCTAAAATTGTTTCTACAATAGCTGCTTGGCACAAAATTATGACTTAATCAATCCTCAAACGTTTTCGTTGACACATGCCTTAGGACTTAATTTTCATATCACTGGGAGAAATGCCTTGGAATATCCCTTAAAGCCCTGGGGTTTTCTGGCTGATAAATAAGCAAGAGTGTGAGTTTAAAGTCACCGTCAGCATTTGTATTGAGCAAAGAGTGAACCTATCTTTAGCAGCTTTGAACCCTGGTGTGCATTTCTCCTCTTCGGCTATGTAATTTGTGATGGAATTCTTTTCCAAAAGAGCCCAGTTTTGTCAACATTAAAAACTTGGCATGCATAACAGCTACCCTCCTCAGTGATTCTAGCCAATGTGTCAGGAGAAGCACTGAGGTACCTCCTTATCACCACTGGCAGCTTCATCTGATGTGCAAACTGACTTTGGCTGTAAAATGCATCAATTAGCCCCTGCTTGCATTCAGGGGCTCATGAGTAAAACCCTGTTTCTTTAGCTCTTCATAAAGATTCTTTGCCTTTCCTGAATTATGCCTAAGCTTGCAGGAGCTCAGTGTTAGTTTTGATTCTCCAGCCAAACAGTTTCTCAACTAGGAATGTAAATACTCATTTAAAAAAATAACCAGTTAAATGATATAATTTTTATTGTTTAACCCTGGAGGACTGTTGCTGAGGGGTCCTGCAGCAGGGGCTCTTCCAGACAGTGGTTTGCTGCAGCCTTCTTTCACATTAGTAGTTGGGATATCCAAAGCTCTGCTGATTTCATTTGATGTCTGCCCTTTATCTGGATGTCTTAGTGATATCCATTTTTGTTTTCACAATAATTGTTCTTCATTTCTTAGAAGAAACATCACCTGCACCAGATTTATGCTTTTCTGCCATTTAAAAAAAAACAAGAAAAAAACAAAACCTTGAAGTACAAAGAACAGCGATGGGGATGTCTTAAGTCAGGTTGGGCTGAATGTTGGGCAATGTAGTATGCAGAATTGGGCTTGCTTTTTACAGAATTGCATGTAAATAATTGTTTTGTATTATAATGAATGGGGCAGGGAGGGGATCTCTTGCATTTGCTTGTGTGGTTGGCTTCCACGGCTTTGTTAGCCTGTTGCCAGGTGGCCTTGCTTGGTTTTGATTGGTTGAGGTTCAGCATGTGACGTGTGCTATTCTCCCTGCTGGCTTTCCTCCTAAGGGTGAGACAAGTATTCCAAGGTTGAATCAGGCAGTCATTCAAAAAGCATCCTAAAGTGTCTGGCATAAGTTGGGCATCGTAAGTTTGAGGACTCACTGTATTTACTTCTATTCCTCCTATTCCTTTGGCGATTTGTACTTTTAACTAAAAAGCTTTAGATTTATGCTTGTAAAATATTTGATACCTGTAAAATGCTTATGTAATAAGCTTTGTAATGAATGGCTTTATAGAATGTAAGATTTCTTGTCTTAGTAAGCAAGATACGAAAACATTTGTTAGGCCCCAATTCTACAAATACTTATATGCTTGATTTTATTACTGAGAGTAGTTCCTCTGACTTCACTGGGACTGCTCATGCCAGTCAAATCAAGCATGCGCATAAGGCCTTATCTATGATACAGAGATTGTTGAGCAAGTTATTCTCATGATCAAAGAGCAGTTCAACTACGTCATTTGTACATGTTCACACAATGCTCATTTGGTTTGGGAAGTGCATCCACATTTGGCGCTCATCAACAGTGAGAGTTGTTGACACACAACTTTTTAACACTGTGGGTAGCTGTCCCACTGTGCAACTCGCCACCTTCTGCAGTTAGGAGCGGTGGGAAAATAGAGTGGATTGTAGTGCATCATAGATCTACACTTGGTGCTCTATGGTGCATTATTTTTCATTCCATCATTCCCCAGACTTCTAACTGCGTTTCGTGGCTTTTTTTCAGTGCCCCCGTTCGCTGCGTGCCTGCCATCTCTGTCTGAAAGGATAGAACCTACGCTGCTCTCCACTGTCGGTGATCACTGCTTTGAACACATCCGTGATGGTTATGCAGTATATCATGAGTACCCAGTCTGACCAGGAATCAAGAGTTGCTTGACCTGGAAAAAAAATAACACCAGCATAGTTTTGGCGTTTGTGGAGCAGCTGCACATAGCGCAGGGGTGGGCAATAACTTTTGATGGGGAGGCCACTCCAAGATTTTGGAAAGTGGTCTAGGGCTGCACTCTTCCATGATATTAATAGAGGAGGTGCGGGGTCTGGGATGGAGGTTGGGTGCAGAAGGGAGCTTGGGGGTAAGGGACTAGGATGCAGGAGGGAGAATGGAGTCTGGGAGGGAGTTTGGGCGAAGGAGGTGGTTGTGACCTAGGGCGAAGGACTGGGGTGCAGGGATTTGGAATGTGATCTGGGACAGGAGATTGGGGTGCCAGATCTGAGAGCGGGTGTGGGTGTAAGAGAAGGACAGAGGGTTTGGGTATGTTGAGTGCAGGGGCAGAGAGTTGGGGTGCCAGAAGCAGGCTGTGGCCAAGAGACTTACTTGTGTCAGCTGCCAAACTTACCTGCTTTCCTGCAGAGCTTAAAATGTTTCCCAGCCTGCCTGCTTGCTGGGCCGTGTGCTTCATAAATAACTGAGCCATGGAGAGGGGGCATTGTTCTTCTTGGCTGCCTATTACTCCAACAAGCAGCTCCCATTGGCCGGTTTCTGCCAGAAACCGGCCAATGGGAATGTGCTGGGGATGGCTCCTAAAATTTCCCCCCTACCCTCCAGTTTTAAAACAGAAATGGAGCCCTGCAGCCGTGTTTCTGCATGGCGTGCGAGGCTGCGGGGCAAGCTGGGGAGCCTGCCTGGGACTCCCCGCTGCCTCTGTGGTCCGGATCCTGTAGCTTGGGAAGCCGTATTTTGCCCAGGCTTGACATAGCAGGTTATTGCTTTTTGGGCTCAGTAAACAAGCACTGAGTGGTGGCATTGCATCTTTATGCAAGTTTGGGATGACAGGCAGTGGCTGCAGAACTTTCAGATGTAGAAAGCCACTTTCCTAGAACTGTGGTTCTGCAATGGAAGGACATCAGAATGAGAGCTGCCCTCTTGGTTGAGAAGCATGTGGCAATTGTGGTGTAGAAACTGGCAACACCAGACTCAACTGTTGCAAATTAGTTTGAAGTTGGGAATAGGGATGTGAATGGTTACCCATTAATAGTGAAGCTTACAGGTTGAGGCTTACTGGTTCAGGTTAACCAGCAGAGTGTAAGTTGGGTAACTGGTTAAACATTTTGTTTAACCAGTTAACCAGGAGTTTACATTCCTACTTGGGAAGGCCATTGGGCTCCATTAAGACAAGTATGTAGGACCATTAATCTAATTCTGATGTAAAGGATTGTGACTCATGAAAATGTGCATGAAAGAAAGAATGACTTTATGGCAATGGAATTCCCTAACTGCAGCACGGCAATAAATGGCATGCATATCTCAGTTAATAGAAAGGGGTACTTGTGGTTTACAATGGGCATTTCATTGACTTCAACACAGGGAGGTTTGAAAAGGTGTATGAGGTGTATCTTTAGGACAGTGGTCCCCAACGCGGTGCCCATGGGCGCGGTGTGAGGGCTGTTCTGGCCCTGGGGCTCACAGCGCAGGAGCTGGCTCCAGCCCCGGGTGCGTGGCGCAGGAGCTGGCTTATGGGCGGTGGCAGCCCCACCCCCGGGCACGTGGGACATGGGCTCTTCCGGCCCCGGGTGCACGGCGTATGGGTGGCCCCACCCCTAGGCTTGCAGCACAGTTGTTGCGCCAGCCCCGGGAGTGCGACACATGGGTGGCACCAGCTCCGCGCATGCGCGGCCCTGCCCCCGGGTGCCCAGCAGCCCCAAAAGGTTGAGGACCACTGCTTTAGGAACACTGGCTTGTATAGAAAGCTGCAAGCAGGGACTTCCTTTCCATTCTAGAATATTCCAGTCAGGGATGTTGAGATACCCATAATGATACTGGGAGACCCAGCCTACTCCTTAATCCTCCCAGGGCTCTTGAAGCCTAAAATGGGATGCCTTCAAGGAGCACTTCCACAGTAGGCTGAGCAGGTTCAGGATGATTGTAGAAGGTGTATTTGGCTGATAAAGGCAGCACCAGCATGCTTTTAATAGCAGGCTAGACCTAAATGAAGAAAATTTTCACATGGTCCTAGCAATCTGCTGTGCATGCCATAATATTCATGAGACTGAATGCCAAGTGGTGGTCCCTCTAATGTTTGATTTTATGTGCATCAATATGGAGATGAAGTATGACACATCCCCCTCCATTTTGGAACACAACACAATTTTTCTGCACACAGATAATCTGTTGTGGGGGTGGGGCAGAAAGGTTCACAGTGTGAGGGGGAAGGCTCAGGGTTGGGTTATGAGAGCTCTGGTGGGTGGGCTAGGAATGAAAGGTTTGGAGTTCGAGGGGGACTCGGGACTGCAGCATAGGGTAGAGGTGCGGGGGTGAAGACTGGCTCGGGGTGCAAGATCTGGGATGAGATCGGGGTTTTGGGGATGGGCTCCTCCAGCTCTCTTTCGCTATAGCATCTCTGGAGCAGGCCAGAAATGCCTCTGGCAGCTCTGATGAGGCTGGATTGGGCTGGAGAAGGGATGTCTCTCTCCTAGCTATGGTGGCACGTCTGTGCAGCAGGGAAGAAGCAGCTTCTCTTCCCCCCCCCCCCCCCGCCATGGCAGCTCATTGCTGGAGCCAGGTGCCATGTGCCTCTCCACTAGCTTTGTCAATGCGCTGTCGGGGATCTCCGAGCCCTTGTGCTGAACTTATTAAGCAGCTGCACGTCTGTGAAGATTAGAGGGAACTATGGTGCCAAGCTTCCCTTGGCTCAGAATGTGGAGGCACACCTAGTAGTTGATTTTTGAGCAGGCGAAGGCCATGTCTTCATTCCGGTGAAGATGGTTGCTGCCATGATTAATGTTCCAGAGTTTGATTTAGCAGTTTGATAAGACCCATTAAATCAAACTCAGAGGGTTCCCCCATCGGCATCCAGTACTCCTGTTTCTGTAAGGAGTAAGGGAAGCCGACCGGAGTATTTGCTCCATTCGGTCTCCCACTGAGGGGAGACTCGAATCAGGGTACATTGATTCCAGCTACATAATTAAGATAGCTGGAGTTGTGTATCTTGATTTGACCTTCCCCTTTAGTGCAGACATAGCCCTATAGCAGTTCAATTATAGACACACAATGGGGAGCTATTCAGATCAGGGAGGCTTCAGGGTACCATTTTGATCGTAGGCACCAGTAATGTTTTTCTATATACCGTACTTTCTGCTTTGTGACAATTTTAATGATTCTAGACTGTGACTTGTAGTCTGCAAATTATCCAGATGCCACTCTATTATTTTCCATAGTAGCCATCCTTTGTAGGAGATCAAGATTGGTGATCTTGAAGAGAAGTTATTTGTTTTTATTAAAAACCCTAAGTTGGCTCTCACCTAAGTTACACTCTAGCTTTCACCTTGGAACCTGGCTGAAGGGGTGGAGTGAATGAGAAATCAAGACAGGCTGGGAAGTTGAAAAGAATGTGCGGGAGGAGTTAGGGGGAGAGCATAAAAAAATCTTTCTCCACACCCTGCATTCTTGCTTGTTGTCATCCGAGGACTGGAGCACCTCTCAAAATATGTCCTTGGTCTTTTTCTATTGGGTAGAGGTGTTCCATTAATGTGTAGAGGTTCCCCTGAAGGCCACATCCACGGGAGCACAAGAAGGAGAAAACGGAAGCATGGTTGTTAGTGAACTCACAGCATTGAAACATTCTAGTAAACTATATCTCTTTTTACATACTAATGAGTTTTTCCACTGTCTCTTGGCAAGCTCAGAGCTCAGCAAATGCCCCAAGCAAGATAAATTCAGCCTGCGGGGGGAGGAAGGAGGGAAGAGGGTTCAAGGTGGAGCAAAGCGTTTAGGTGTTTTTTGTAATGGGTTCATTGCAGGCAAGACAAAACTGTACATTCTACCCCCACTTCCAACAGCCAGATATCATTGTAGCTAAGATCTCATTCCTGAACACTGAAAGGGTGCATCTCCTGGATGCATGTGTTTACATGGGAACCCTAGGCTGTGCACTTGAGTGCCGCTTTGGGCCCTATACAAGTGATTGCCAATTGGTACAGGAAAGTTTCGTACAATGGAGGAAGGAACAGAGCAGCTCTAACAAGGAGAGGATTGATGAGTCTCTCCGGGAAAGTTTCCTAGAGACCTCTGGAGGATTTCTGTGAAGTCTGGATGTGCTGCAAAGGGGAATGAGCAGCGTCAACTCAAAATATCACTTACTAGAGCTCCCTTCTCAGTCTTGCTTGCCAGAGACAAATTGCTTGGACTGGCTCGCAAACCCTTTGGAGTCAAGATGAGATACTGGACAATCATGTTCCATCTCATCCTCCAACTTGGCCTCCTGGCCCACAGCTTTGGGTTGATTCCATTGTCCACTCTCTCTAGCCCTGCCAGAAAATTTATGGGGTTCTTAATAGATGGGGATCTCAGACAAGAATGGCAGCCAGCTCCTTATAAAAGCAGCAGGTCTTCAGCACAGAATCAGAGCAACAGTTTGCCTCTCTTGCCTTCTGGTAAACCTGCCTCAGCTCCTTAATCTTTGAAAGTCATTGATGCATGTCCTGTTCATAGTCCTTTTCCAACCTGCTACAGGAAATCTGACCACAGATATAGACGTTCCTGCAGCTGGAACTGGGACTGCAAAGCCTCCACTCCCTATCTACTGAGCAAATCCAACAGCTCCAGATTGAATCAAATGCTTGCCCATTTGGAGTATGGTGCTACCATGGTCAGATGTGCTATGAGCTGTCCATGCCAAACATACAGGAAACAGAATTTTTAAAATTCCTGAACATTTAAAGCAAGGAGGGGTGGATCCCTGTGTATTTGGTTGCCAAGTAACAGAGTTTGACCTGCTGACCAGAGCAGTCAGAATGGATATTCTGGGACACCACCTGTAGGACGTTTATAATGATATAACTAATCAGTATCCACATGCGCACTTTTTTTATATAACTTTGCTGCAAAAGCTGTAGGCTGCTCAGTGAAGTGGTTTTATTTTGTTGGCAAAGCAGGAGAGTTTTGTTGGTGGAAAGAACAGTAGTGTACACCTCCACTGTTGACAAAACCTGACTTCTATCAACAAAACTCTGTATTATAGACAAGGCCTAAATGTTTTCTGGATCTGGTCTTTAATATCATTTTTATCATTTTTTAATTTTTGCAGAATAAGTTTTCAAACTATTACTGAAATGTGTTCATTTAAAATAATTTTAAGTTATACGTTTTAAAGAGAAATCTTTTACATTTTGTATTTTGTTTTCAGGGTTGATAAAGACAGGAGTGGAGTAATATCTGACAGTGAACTTCAGCAGGCATTATCCAATGGTAAGTGTGAGACAGCCAAAAAAATTCTCTTCTCTGATTACGTGATGTATATTTATTCTAAGAACAAAGGAAACTGAAAGTCTGATCATACAATAAGGAGCAATCCTACAGTGAAAGATCAAGTAAGAAGTGAATTAAAAAAAAGACCAAAAAAAAGACCGATGAGATGTATAATTCATAGCTCCATAAGGTATCCTTTTTCAGACCTTAAAGAGGAACTGGATTTTTTTCAAACATTTTCCGTTAGGTTTTTGATGTATATTAATAGATTGCTTGTAAATATGCCCTTCACTTTTTAAGCAGGATCAATAAGTATTCCAGGAAAAATGTACAGGAGTGCTTCCAACCTGTCATGCTGCAGGTGCAGTAATCTTGTTTGTATCATGGTATGCAAACAGGGAATTAAGGCGGTGAAAGGTCTAATGGTCAGTGATGATTTTTAACGGAGACAAAATTAACTGCACTTTACAGAAGGAGGGTGTTCTCAGGAGTGTGCTTTCCATAGCCATTTATTCAGCATTTCCCCAGTCTGTCATTAGAACTTCCTGAGACCATGTGGGTGAGGAAGTATCTTTTATTGGACCAAATTTTGTTGGTGAGAGAGACAAGCTTCCATGCTACAGAGGAGCTCTTCCTCAGGTCCCATGCAGCATTTCAAATGTAGACGAGCCTAAGTTATAGGTGACTGATTATGTGGTGCTGTTCGTACATCTTGGGTGTCTAAGTATAGTGGCCAGAGTTTTTTGGTAATTTAATGCCATTTTCTGAAACATCTAAAAGACATGTATTGAGAAGCATCCCCAGTTCTTTTCATGTGGAATCCCTGTACAAGGGGTGTGGGCTGTGGTGAAAGTGAGGCCAAATCACATTCTGGGCTGCAGTACTAGCTGGAACAAAACATTATTACTGATCATCTCATTTAGAATATACCTAGGAAACGGGTTTTACTGCTGAGCACAAAAAGCCATTATTATATTTCTTCTGACTAAAAGCAAAATAAATGTGATTACCTGATATAATAGGTGACACATTAGGTAGATCGTATTCTTTTCCCCCACTTAAAAGAATGGCCTGCTTAAAAGGATGAAACTTTAAAATTGTGGCAAAAATAGAGAATCTGAAGCAATTTGGGTCTCTTATTCAGAGCTTCAAAACATTGTTCAAAAGAGTTTTTGAGAACCTATGTTTGCTTAACCCTTCTTTAAATTCCTCCAATTATCCTTCATTCCCCATGTGACCCATTTCATTATTACACAACCACCATATTTTTTTATGTCCACGGGGCTTTTGCCACATTTGAAAGGGTGAGGCATGGTAGTCAGACCAACACAAGCAGGGATTGCTTCAGTCTCCGCTTGTGCCATTTCCCCACTGCACCTCTACTTCCCCTGCTCTACTCCCCCCAGCACCGGCTCCTGCTCCCATCCCCTTGCTGTCTTTCTCTGATAGTCAGAAAGTGGTGGGGGAGTGACTAGTGGAATCATTAATCGACTACCCAATTAATCACTTACATCCCTAGTTAGAATTGGAAAAGGTACTGAAAAGGGCAGCAAAAATTATTATGGAACACCTTCCATATTAGAGTAAGAAGACTAGGACTGTTCAGGTTGGAAAGAGATTACTGAGGGGATATGATAAAGATCTGTAAAATCATAACTGATGTGAAGAAAGAATAATAGTGTTGTTTTCCCTTTCAAATCAGAAGCAGGATCACTGAATTAAATTAAGCAGCAGATTTCAAACAAACATAGGAGGTTCATGTTCATACAACGCATAGTCAACCTTTGGAACTTGTTGCCAGGGGATGTTGGAAAATATAAATAGGTTCAAAGAAGAATTAGATAAGACCAGGAATCCATCAATGGCTATTAGCTAAGATGGTCAGGGACCACATCCTCTGGCTTTTATTGTTCCAAAACCTCAGACTGCCAGAAGCTGGGAGTTGATAACGGGATATATCAAATGATAAATTGCCCTTGCCCTGTTCTTGTGTTCTGAAGCTGTTAGAATATAGGACGTATGGGCATTTTTATGTTGTTGGGTTTATGCAAATCACAATGAGTTCAAGAAAAAGAACCAGAGAAAAAACTGAGTTATTTTTCTGGGAAGAGTGTTTTTCACCATCCTGTTGCTCTTGAACAGCAGTAACAAGTATTGCTGCTGTCTGCAGATGTGGGTGTCAGTATGGCATTGGTTCAGGTTTGGAAGGCCATCCTCATAACTGAGCATATTACTGGCAATGAATGAAAACTGGTCATAAAGCATATTGAGAACCTTAATTCTATAGAAATAATGGCTTGGGTTGCTGCTCTTTTCACTTTCTATTAAACTGCAAATACACCCTCTTCTATAATAAGCTTATAATGAAAGAGAAGTGTCGTCCTGCCAATTTCAGTGGCCACCTCATCACCTTCCATGTCTCTTGCACAATGTTTCAGGAAGCATGTGACCTGCTTGAATTCTTTCCAGTACTGTAAGAAGAAATGTCCTGGAAAACTGATGTAATTGTTTAGTTTATACCAGTTTTTCTCAACCTTTTTTATAAACCCCCTTTAAAAATAAATAAATAAATAAAAAATTTAAAATAAAAATAAATAAGTACCCCCCAATACCTACAGTTTTCAGACACACACATTTTTTTTCTACCATTGCACACATTTGTTTAAACAACTTAATTGTAGCCAGGCAAGTGATGGAAATTTGTGGGTGTAAAAAGTACAAAAATAATAGTGCTGTAAAACTGAAAACAAAAATTCAGTTTTCTCCCATTTGTTGTGTTGACATACCCCTCCCTTCCGCCCCCGACTTCTCTTGAGTACTCCTACCACTGGTTGAGAGACACTGGTTTATACAAACACACACAAGTGATATAAGTCCTGTCAGTGTGGACAATTCTTCCTGAGTGGCTAGGACTTGTATAAGAAACATGTCTCAAATGTGTCAAATCTTTTCCACTTCTAGATCTAATTTCCCATTAATTTTCACAAACAGTTGAATTTTTTCTAAAACTTTCCATTTGCAGTATTACTATCCTGACTTATTGGAATTATGGCCCAGGTGCTGGAACAGGGAAGAACTGTAATATGTTGAGTTCTTTCTGAAGGGGAATAACCTTTTAGGCCTATGCCATCTTAGGGCATGCTTGTCAACAAATGTAAGATACCAGTTGGTATGTGGCACAGGTTTAACTGAAGTTAGAACAATGTTTTCATAAAGGCAAGGACTTCCTAGAATAGGTGCGGGGAGAAAAAAAACCCTGCTTCACTAAGTTCACAATGGAAGAAATGTATTTTACACTTAGCCATAGGTCTAGAAACAAAGGACAATGTATGTTATACTGTTATGAGGGTTGTAACCCACTCAGACTTAACTGTGATCTGTGAGTCTATTTGGACAGTGGCAGAAAACCCTGTTCTGCTTCAGACACAAGAACGCTGAACTGCAAGGCTACTATTTTTTTACTCTACTGCTCTTCTCAGCTGACCTTTATACACTTTGAAAGCTTTCCCCTGCTTATTTACATTAACATCAGGTCATCACTTTGTCTGTGAGAAGGCTTTGTAATATTTGGCAGAATAGGAATATAACATTGCAGGAAATTGAGATCAGAGCTGCAGCTCTCAGTTGCCAATTGATAAGGGGATGATGTGTGCGAGGCTTACATATTTGAATTGCTTTTGTGTTTGTAATAGCAAATAATTTGGTTAACTAGACTTTTATATTTCACTCTGTTTCCACACTAGTCACTTAAACTTCTCTTGCTAGATATTGACTTACAGAACATGAGGAAATGTGAATGAAATGTGTTAATTCCTTCTTGAGGTAGACAAGTTTGGAAAAATACTTTTTCATTTAAAGTAACTATGGGTAACTGGAAAACGTCAAATGTTGCTTGTAATTTCCATGAGGAGTAATGTAGTAAATATGGTGAAAACTAAGAGCATTTTTTTTAAATCACAGCTCGTATGCATGCTCAAATCAAATGTTTATCAAAAGTAGTCGTATAAAGCTAATAAATATAAAGTTTGAGTTCTGATGCCAGGCTGAAAGTTCATTGGATAAAAAACTATGGTTTCTTCTCTAAAATAAAGGAAAGCACTTGAAAGACTAAATCCCTATTTGTTTTGTATTTCGCAAAAGATTCTACTGGTCATTCTTCTTTTAATGTTAAATACTATGTGCATATAACTAACCCTAATGGATGAGATTGTAAATCCAGATTTTATATTGCCAGTACTTCAAATGAAGATGCAAAAATATTGTCCTCTCTTTACATGTCCCCTCCTCACCTTAACTCTATCTCACCACTTGGGCAACAGGAGAGGGGAAAGTGCCTTCCTGATTCTTGCTATAGTTTCTCAACTTGAAGAATGAGTTTTTACTTTCCTCTTAGTATGCAAAAGTTATAAAATGTTAGAAGAAATCCAGATTACTGTAGACTGGCCTACGTTTCATATAGAGGCCATTATCAGTATATTGTACAGCAGATTAGTGACCTAACCCTCCGTGTAGGCAGTGCTATGTCAATGGGAGAACTTCTCCTGTTGATATTGCTGCCATCTCTTGGAGATGGATTAACACCACCAACAGAAGTTCTCCCATAGGGATAGTAGCATCTTCTTCAAAGCACTACAGCTGCACTGTACATGAAGACAACCTTAGATACCACTGAGACACACCCCTATTTTTGAATTGCCTCCACACAATCTAGCTCTGCACTTTCTAGCGAGATTGTCTTTTGGGTGGTTTATCTATGGGTTGTTTTTCGTATTTGTCTTAAAGCTTCACCATGCTGCTTTTCTGTATGTTTCAGGAACATGGACTCCATTTAATCCAGCAACTGTCAGGTCAATTCTGTGTAAGTACAACTGTACAATGTTACATATTCAGGATATGTCTTTTTAAGTCACATTTTTATTCTCAGCTGATGGCTAAGGTTTTTACATGCTGCAGCACTTTAATTACATCAATCACAGTAAACTGAAAAAATTAACATGGGCACCCTTCTGAAACTAGTAAACTGAAAGTATGTTGTAGAATGTGGAAGGCTATGAAAATCTTTAATATAAGCTTCAGTTCCACATTCCTTAACCCCATTCCAAAAACTGCTCATTAGGAAAAAATAAAGTCAAAGACCTTCTGACACATTGTCTGTTTTGAAAACCTATAGAAAAATATACTAATGACTATATATAAGTAGAATATGTATCTGTATCTATTAACTTCTCAGATCACAGAAGTCATGGATTCTATGATTTCCCTCCCCTGCCATCCCAGGACCTCTGGTGTCTGCAGTGGTTGGCCTGGGGCTCAGACAGCCCCTCAGCCAACCGCATTGTTTGCTGTTGAGGGCGGTCTCTGGCCACAACTACTCCACAACCCAACAACAGCAGGAGTTTGGGTGTGGGAGGAGGGAGGAGACTCAGGTCAGTGCTTACATTGAGGGGGCGCTCCTCGGAAGCTGTAACAGCCAGGAAACTCCATGCACTGCATCCACCTGTAGGTACCACCCCCACAGCTCCCATTAGCCATGGTTTCTGTCCACTCTAGAACCCACCCCACCTGCTTACTGTTAGGGCATCACTTATCCTGCCTTCCTAATGCAGGAGCCAGCTCCATCCCTGGGGCAGCCTATGTTGGCTCCCAGGGTGGGCGAAATCGAGCCCACCACCCTGCACTCTCCAGCTGAATGCCCTACCTCCCAAGCAACTCCAGAGCACATCCTACCTCCCTGCCTTCAGATGGTCCCTTATGCTCTGTTGGCTGTTTAGTCACTCCCAGAGTGGGTGGGGGAGGGAGCCTCTGGCCATGCTTCTACCTAGGAGATGATGGAGGAAGATGTTGCTGGATTTTTTTGGGGGGGGGAGGCTGGAGGCAGGGTAGGGAGCCTGCCCTCTCCTCCCCCCTTCATGGGGCGGTATATAATACAAGTCATAGACAGGTGACTCTTGGTTAATTTTTATGTATTGTCCATGATCTATCCGTGACCAAAACGTAGCCTTAACTCTGTGTGCGCGCGCGCGCAGGGTTGCCCAAACAACCTTTAGGAAAAATTACAAAATAAAGGCAAATGTCAGAAATGTAGGGGGGAAAGTGAAAATGTTGACAGTAGAACTGTCTTCATTTAATGCCATTAAGTCATTGAGAACAATTTAAAAACTTTAGTTCTAATTACAAATATCAAGCAGGAAAATCTGATCTTATGATCTACCTCAAAAGACCAAAATGGAAGAACAAAATCAGAAACCATGCGATAGCTATTGGAATAATTTTCAGCAATACAGAAGAAGCTGTTAGCAAGTTAGCGGTATAGTAAGAGATGGACAAATAGAAAAATGTCTCTCCCTCACACAACTTATGAACAATGTATTTATAATTATTTACTCAAATCTGTTCAAGTATTTGGCTTAAATCCCCAGTTGGGTGCGTGTGCGTGTGTGTCGCTCTGCGCCAGCTCTTCCAGGTCATAATCTGTTTGCCACGGGCGAGTAGATTACATTATTTGTCGAGCCCTGTGTGTGTGTGTGTGTGTGTGTGTGTATATATATATATTTTAAAATTAAAGTTTTTTATTATAGCTGTAACAAGTCACAGAAATTTCCATTGCAGATTGTCAGAATACAAAAGAATCCTTCGTGGGGATTTTCTACCCTGCTTTACTTTGCAACACCTTGGAGAACAAAATCTTCATGCTCGTCTGTCACTGATCCATTTGATGCTTAAGACTTCACTGTCACACCATTGCTCTTCCATGTTACCTTTTTCAGTTACTCCCTTTGTTCTTCCCTATTCTCTTTTCTTTGTCATTTCATCACTTTGTCATTTTGTCACTTCCTCTCCTGTCTGCTTCAGTGGTCACTTCTCTCAAGTTCAGCACTATTTTCACAAATCCTCTTTGCCTCTATTTGTTTACCATCTCTTCAGCCAGTCTAGCCTACCTCTTTATTAAAGATGACAAAATCTTACTAAAGATTATAGTATTGTTTCCTGTTATTAATTCTTCAATTATGTTTATTTCAGCCATGTTTGACAGAGAGAACAAAGGTGGCGTGAATTTTAATGAATTTTCTGGAGTCTGGAAGTATGTCTCAGATTGGCAGAATGTTTTTCGAACATATGATAGAGACAATTCTGGAATGATTGACAAAAATGAACTAAAGCAAGCACTAACAGGTTTTGGTAATTTATTTATAATTATAGTTTACTATATAATTGCTGGTTTTGTCAAGAGAGAGGCTGTGGTTTCTTTAAGGCTGTGTCACTTCGCAATTGCAACAAATTGGGATAATCAACTGTAAGGAATAATTGAGGTGGAATGTGACGCTTCTGACATCTGTGCACCTTACAGATCAGATTAACTCTTCCGGCTGAGTAAAATTAAAAAATTAATGGGAAGAAATGTATGCGAAGTTGTAATAAACACCCAGAAAGTTTTACCAGTATTTCAGGTATAAATGCGTTAATCAGTGGTTCACTCTGCCATTGGTCATAAGCAGGGCTCGACAAATCCGCTTATCTACTCGCCCGTGTCTAGTAGATTTCAGCCTGTTGCCTCGTTCACCGGCGGTTCGCACATGCGCAGCGCGGGGCTGGCGAGTGGTTTTTGCCACGGTTTGTCGAGCCCTGGTCATAAGGCATTCTTAGGCTTTAAAGTTTGGCTAGATCTTTAAGGAATACATTTAATTACCTACAACTGGGGTATCCAACATGCTAGCCACATGTGGCTATTTGGCCTGTTGAGTGTGGCTAGTTTGCTATAGCAGTTGACACTATAGTGTCTACTACTTCAGAGCTGGTTGGACACTACAGCCCTGCAAGGAAAGATCGTTATTGAAGAAATAACCTGTTTTCCTTCTCATGGATACTTGAGGCACCTATACATTTCCAGTGATAGTTGTCATTCAACTATAGTAAGTAATTGATAAGCTGTATTCTACAAATATCTGCTTTGATTATACATTCTTAACCTTTATATGTACTGTTACTTTTACATATGTAACCTATTGAAAACAGACTCTGCTGCTATAAAGAAGTCACTTTGTCTTGGTAATTTGAATTCCTTTTTAAAATGTGAATCAAATCAATTTAGATCCATTGCTTTAAAAAATTTAGTTCAAATTACTATATCTTACTAAGGTCCTACCAAATTCACAGTCCAGTTTGGTCAATCTCACAGTCATAAGATTTTTAAAATTAGTAATTTCATTATTTTAATTATTTAAATCTGAAAGGTATCTGGAAAAATAGCAGCTGCTGGTCAGGAACTTAGCTCTGATGGTAGCACCAGTGCAGAAGTAAGGATGTGGTGTGGTATTGCTAGTCTTACTTTTGTGCTGTTGGCATGGTGCTATCTTTAGAACTGGGTGCCCAGCAAACAGTTGCCACTGTCCAGTAACCCAGCTCTGAAGGTTGCACAAAATTAATGTTCCCAAGACCACAATCCCCCTAAATAACGTTGGGATGTCCCCTGCAACTCCCTTTTGGGTCCTTATCCCCAGTTTGAGACACTGGATTCTCCTTGTGAAATCTATATAGAATAGGATAAAAGTACACAAGACCAGATTTCACGGTAGGGGGCCTTCCTATTATGTACACCTCAGAACTGCTAGAATGTAAAGCAGCTTGAAGCCTAGCTAAAGGGGTTGGGCATAAAAGAGGAAGGGGATGAGTTATCCCTGCTCCCATGGAAAGGGTGAACTCTTCTGAGATGGAACAACTCGAAGATTATTTTAATGATATTCTAGCTAGGGATGTAAGTGACTAATTGACATACTAATCAGCTAGTTGCTTCCCTCCCCCCCCCACCCCTCCTTCCTGCCTCTATCAGAAAGAGGCAGCAAGGGGGAAGAAGAGTGGGTGCCGGGGGGGCGGCGGCTTAAAAGCCGGTTCCCCCCCAGCTTCGTGGCAGGGGCACAGTGGTATGTTTCAAAGATGGAACGCTGCAAGAGCCCTAGTGTGGGCTGTTGTACATTTCAAAGATTGAAACACTGCTTGGAGCTTGGGGCCGGTGGGGAGTCCCCCATTGACTTGGCTCCACGCTGTGCTTCTGCTTTGAAATGCACAAGAGTCCCTGCTGGGGCTCTTGTACATTTCAAAGGTGGAACGCCTCATGGCACTTCTGTTTTTTGAAATGTAGCAACAGCCAGGCGGGCTCTAGCTGCGTTTCAAAGTGGAAATGCCCTTATCGACTAATCAAATAGTCAATGGAAATTCCATCGAATGTTCGATTAGTTGATTGATCTAATTTTAACATCCCTAATTCTAGCACAACTCCATTTAGTATGTGAGCCTGATCTAAAGTCCACTGAAAATAATGGGAAGTCACACACTGACTTCAGATCAGGCCCCTGTTACTGAGATTAGGAAGATTTTAATTGTGCCTATTTTCAAATAACTGTTGAAGCACTGTTTATCAGCTGTATTTACAGTTAACAAAAGTGTCTATGTTGCTAAAGCTTTCTTCACTGCCTCTTCCAGAAGTGAATAAATGATCCTTGTGACTTTTAAAGATGTCAGTTCTAGCCATTCCTCTTTAAGCAGCTGTATAGAAACTATCAAATGGGCTACTCCCTATATCATCTGAAAATCTACAGTAAACTCATTTCCACATGGTCAAAGGGATCTTATAGTATGCAAATGACTATCACTTCTTCCATTGTACTCTTAGGCTGTAGCACAGCGGTTCCCAAACTTTTCCAGATGGGGACCCATTTTGACAATTCAGGAAGACTTGGTGACCCAAGGCAATTCAGAAACGGGGGGAAGAGAGGATGCAGAGCCACCTGGGGAGACACTTGGTGACCCTTTTGAATAGTAATGGTGACCCATTTTTGGGTCCCGACCCATACGTTGGGAAACCCTCCTGTAGCAGAACATATTCCAGAGCTTTTCTCTGTATCTGACAGAGCTTCTACTAGAAATGCCTGAGGGTCTCTTTACTTTACATAAGCCCTTAGTTGTTGTCTACACTTACTGGGAGATGGACACTGTGGTTATCGATCTCCTGGGGATCAATTTAGCGGGTCTAGTAAGGATGTGCTAAATTGACTGCTGATCATGCTCCTGCTGATTCCAGTACTCCGCTGGGTTGCAAGGAGTAAGGGGAGTGGACAGAAGAGCATATCCCAATGACTTCCCTGCTCCCCCTTCCCCCACACACAGTGGGGACGCTGTGGTACGTTGATGCCAGCTGTGCTATTCATATAGCTGAAGTTGAGTTCCTTCATTCAACTTTGCCTCCTACTGTAGACCTGGCCTCAGAATATTCTAAGTAATTCTTCTCAAATAGTTAACATTATCCCCACTTCCTCATTTGTAAAATGGGATAATAATTTGTCCACTTCTGACAATACTTCTCAGACCTCATTATAAAAGGGGTTGTTAAAAGCATGAAGTATTAAGTCTCACAAGCTTACAAGTGAGATTTGTTAAAATATCAGGTTTCTGGAGTGTTTCAGACAACAAAATATTGGTTGAAAATAATTCACTGTGTAATTAACAAATCTAGTCTTCCTAGTTGCTCCATCATGGCATTTGTATCACCTTGCAGTAATCGGAATTGGTGACTTCAGCAGAAAATGGCATTTGGAAACAGCTTGTGCCATCCTCTTATGTCACATTCTCTTGTGATGCAGAGGACAACAATTTGTTGAATTGAAAAAAGGATATTAAAATATTTAATTTCAAAACGTTGAGCACAGCCCTAACCACGTGTCTTACTTTCCATTCTAACAATGTAACCATTTAAAATTAGTTATAGTATTTCATTTACAACTCATTCTTTATCATGTTCTTAATCCTGACATGTTTTTTATATTGGAGCACTTTCTCATTCAATAGATTAGTTTGATTTACTGTTTTACCACTTTTACATTTGCTTAATATCTTTTTCGACATAACTAATGCACCTTTGCTTTTATGTGTTACAATGCAATGCTCTTGTATAAAATATGCAGCTTTGGTCATGTAATCCTTTTTCTTCCAAGGATATCGACTGTCTGATCAATTCTACGATATCCTTATTCGGAAATTTGACAGACAAGGAAGAGGACAAATTGCTTTTGATGACTTTATTCAGTGCTGTGTTGTGTTACAGGTAATTGAAGAAATATATCAAATGTCAAAATGAGAAGCCATGATTTGTAAAGGAGAGTTGAAGGATAAGCTGGATGAGGAATTTAATTTGACATGACTAAAGTAGTACTTCCTAGGATTGCTGCGCTTATAAAATGTTTTTGTGCTGATCAACGTTGACATGTTAATGCTTGATCTTGATCGCTAATGTGCTGTATAGCCTCTTGGCATTACTAAAATACAAATAAGTGCAAAATGACAGACCTCAATGTCTTAAATACTCTCCGCCTCTCCCCTTATTTGAGTGCTGCTTGTCCAAACAGTGACTTAGTGTCACTGAGTGAGAGATTCCATGTTTGCTCCTGGGGCAGACAACGTTGCCCAGCCATGGCAGCCCCCACAACTACTGCAATAGCCTGGCCAACAAGGTCCCAATCAAGGCCAAGCCCTTATGTGGACACAACATCCTGTCCCTGGCCCCAGTCCTGGAGCAGGCCCTGCGGTCTGGCACTTGTCTGGCTGCAGGAAAGGCTGACAGTAGCCCTCCTGCTGCTGTGGCACAGGTAGGAGGTGAGGCCGTGATCCAACCCTTCATCCAGCCACTGCTGCCCAGGTGTAGTAGACCAGCCTCAGCCAGGTAAGGTAATCTGGCCCCAGGGCCCACCCCCAGCTCCCCGCCCCGAACCCCTCATGCACCCCAACCCTGACTCCTGCACCCCCAGCAGCAACAAAAGTCCTGTTAAGTCTGAGTACAAGTTTCATTTCTGCTATTATGATTAATAACAGCAGAAATGATTAATGTCAGTTATCAGTAATATTAAGTTGTATATTTTCAGCCATGCAAATGAGCGTTTTCCATAATGGCTCTTTGTTGGCCACTTGTTCTGAATTTTGATGTACAGGCAGTCCCCGAGTTACGTGGATCCGACTTATGTCAGATCCGCAGTTACGAACAGGGCCCTTCCTCTCCCTGGTCTCCAGCAGACCAGGGAGAGGAAGCAAAGCGGCGGAACACGCGGGCAGCGGACATTTTCAGCCATGCAAATGAGCGTTTTCCATAATGGCTCTTTGTTGGCCACTTGTTCTGAATTTTGATGTACAGGCAGTCCCCGAGTTACGTGGATCCGACTTATGTCAGATCCGCAGTTACGAACAGGGCCCTTCCTCTCCCTGGTCTCCAGCAGACCAGGGAGAGGAAGCAAAGCGGCGGAACACGCGGGCAGCGGACAGGGCTGCCCCGCTGCCCACGCGCTCCGTGGCTTGGCTCTGCTTTGCTCTGCTTTGCCCCCCCCGTCTCCCTGGTCTGCAGACCAGGGAGATGGGGACGGGGGGGCAAAGCAGAGCCCAGCCGCGCAGCCGGAAAA